TCGGAGCAGCGCATCACTTGCAGTGTGGAGTTGGCCCCTCCTTCCTTTCTTACTTCCATGCTTACTTATGAATCTTATGAAATACTACTTACGTGTTTGTGAACTACTCTCCTTACTTATGTATAGCCGAAACCAATCAGTCGTTTAACCATCTAATTACTGAAAATGTTGCATGGAATACACCAAAAGGGATGGTCTAATATTATGTGTGCAAAAAATCAAAAGGACATAAATAACCAAAAGGGATGGTTACGGAACATGCCAAGTTTTTCATGGGATTCAAACCCTTACCCTGCAATTCAGACTACCAGTGAACCTCTGCTAACCGTTGTAGAGTCTAATTGAACAATAAAGCAAAAGTGAATATTTTTATTAATATACTGAATTAATACTTTCTATTAATATTGCAATTCATTTGTACAGCAGAGTCTCTCGTATTTAGAGCTCCAATGCACTCTGTCTAAAACTATGATTTCTCTCATAAAAATATAGAAAATTGTACATCGGCTGAATTTAAATCTTGATCACAGCAAAATGTTTCATATCGTAAGACAGATACTAATAATCAGGGCCTGGATTTTAATGACATTAAAATTCGCTGAAATTGCTGGAAAAAGAACTTGAAATGGAAAAAATACTCTTAAATAATTAAAATTAATTATCCCCAAAGTAATATTAAAAAATAACACATTTGACAAACACTGACAAATGGATTAAAACCCAAACAGTCACACATAACTGTCATTTAAATTTTTTAGAAAAGGAGGGTGCGTGTAAAGTTAGCTAATATTTATTAATCAAGCTTTAAATGATATTTTTATCATTGAAGTATATCAAGAAAGAAGATATAAAACTTTTGGCAGATGAATTTGGTGAAGTGGTGCCACTATCGGCAAAAATCTCCGATTTGAAGAATATTATTCTAAATAGCAATGAGTATAAATGTGATCCAGATTTTGTGAAAGAAATTTTTGAGAATATTGATGATAGACTCAAGAAACAAGATCAGGAATTTGAGTTAGAAAAAATTGATAGAATGAAGAAACAAGATCAAGAATTTGAGTTAGAGAAAATTGAACTAAACAATGAAGCGGAGCTGATGAGAATACAAGCTCAAGCTCTCAAAACCAAGGTATAATTTCACAGCCAATTTTAGAAATTAGTAGTACAAAGAGAACATTTACTTTGCCTAAATTACAGTTTGGTGATGATTTAAAAGAATGTGTACCTTTTTGGAGGCACATAATGATAAAGATGATGATATTGCTCCTAAAAACAAATTCAAATATTTAGTACAAGCATCTATCATTGGTTCTAGAGCAGGAGATGTAGTGAAAAGTTTCCATCCAACCTGAGCAAATTATGCATAGGCTATAGATAGTTTAGAGGCTCATTTCAGTAGAGAAGACATTTCGGTGAAAGTATATCTCAGCGATTTATTGAAATGAATAATCTGTGTATAATCTAACCAAAAATTGTCTCTGCTGTACCTCTATGATGAACTTATTTGAGAGCTGTTGAAATCCGGGGAGTTACAATAGACAAATACGTATCTATTCTTTATCTAGCATTGGAATCATGCTTTGATGAGGACTTTCTAAAAGCTTCGAATCGAAGCCTTTCTTCCAGCTCTATAAAGGATGCAAAAGAAAGTCTGAGCAACTTAACGCATCATTCCTCGAGTTTGAAGTAGAGGGAGAGGAAGGAATATATGTTGGGGTTTTGATTTAACTAAAGATAAAGATGCCCAGAAAAAAGAAATATAATCTAGAAAAATTTCTATGGCATCTATGCTGCTGACATCAGTTAATGAGAAATAAACCAAGATGCATATTTTGTGAAGGCAAGCGTACAAGTGCTGGTTGGAAAGGATAAAAAATGCTGTTTTGCATGTTTGTTTCCTGGTCATTTAGTTAGGAAGTGTCACATGTCTTTAAAACATCTCATTTGTAGGGGAAAACAAAAGCATGTTTCTTTGATGTGTGATCAACTGCAGATTTGCAACAAGCCTGATCAGAAGAAGATAAAGTTCAAATCCAAAGGTATTCCTTCAGACTTTTAAAGCCAACCTTATCTCTGATGAAACAGGGAATATTTTGCATGCTATGTTATACTGGCTCACAAAGGTCATATACTTTAAGGCAAATTGCAGATCTTATAAATCATCAAGAAGTGATTAAACACTCTTTATTTTGTGGTGCTGTTACAAAATAAAGTCAAAGCAACTAAATGGAAATTTCACTTGCAATTTTGAAGTCTTGGATCAAGGTATTATATGCGAAAGTGTACTGCCAGTAAAGGCCCTTTGTTAGAGGAACTGACAAGAGCTCTTGATTTTACTGATATTAACCCCTCTTATGAACTATAGGAGCAGATATTATTAGCTGGCTTTTGATAGAAGAAAAGGATTATCCCTAGGTTTAGTTGCAATGCAAAAAAGTGAAATTAAGAATTACATACCCCAGAAATAATGAGAATAATGAGGCATGTAAAAAAAAAAAAAAAAAAAAAAAAAGCATCAAAGTTGAGACGGTGTTATTTCAAGGGTAGCTTTATTTTTGGGTTTGATTGTTATACTAGGCTTTAAAATGTTGTGAAATGCTCTAAAAATGCCTCCTAAATGCTTTAAAAGCCTTAAAAATACTTTAAAAGAGGAAAATATTAAAAAAAGTGCACAAAATATTAAAAAATGCTTAGGTTATCAAAATGTGGGCCATGCTAAAAATACACTTAAATTGTTAAACTCATAATTTGCAACTAACTGTGGCAAAAAAAAAAAAAAAAAAAAAAAAAAAAAAATCATTAACATTTTAAACTTTTAATTAGCTAGTTTTCTTTCATTATGTAATTTGCACATGTCTCATGTTTTTTAGTTTCTGTAACACTGCATATGCCTGTTAAGTTTTATCATTTTCAGCCCAAAGGGCGTTAGTCCAGAAGGGCTGTTAATTTCGTTTTGACATTTTGTGGTGATTCACTATAAATGGCGAATCACTTTTCAAATTGTTGTCACCAAATATTATCGCTCTGTGTTATATTTAAAGAAATTAAATAATGAAGAATCTGCATAAATGTATGTATGTTTATCACATTGTGATAAAAACAATGGTACATAGAGCCATCAAATTTTGAATAACGTAATCTTCTACTGAATATGGTCATCTGGAAGCCCTAATTTGGTGTTTGAAATTTGTTTTATCATGAATTTCACATTTTCTAACATGAATTTTTTATGTACAAAATCAACGATTTCAAAGTGAGTAATGGCAACAATGTATAGAAAAAAATAAGAATTTCTCTCCAGCTCGCGAGACTGTGTGTTGGAAATTTTAAAGATATGCTTATTTAAAAATTATTTTGCGATTTTGCTGTTGAATTGAATTTTATGGTTTAAGTCCAATGAACATGATATTTAATAAATAAAGGTAACACACAAAATGCTAAAAAAAGTACCTTTGAGCATAATGTAAAATTTGAAAGCCTTCAGATTTTTTTTAAAATTTTATTTTTTAATTAACCGCTTCCCTTACATTTTTTTTTTGAAAAAAATTGCAAAAAATCATCACATTTTTTTATTTTATTATTAAATACTACAAAATGAAACAAATCAAAATATGTAGGTTTTAAGTTGAATTTTTAATTTTTTGAAGGTGTAAAAGCATTTATTTTTAATATTAGTTTACTATCCCGAGTTATCTCGGGCAAACGAAAATAGTTAAATATTAATCTTTGTATGATTGTTTTTGAAACAAGGGACAACACAGAGTGATACCTGACGTTCTACACTGGTATCTGGTCTCTTTTCTTACTGGCTTACCGCTGGAATCTCTTTCACAGGAGCACAGAGTACACTGTCTCGTTGGATATGATTCCCCTCTTCTTCATAATCACTATCTGAAAAATCATCGCTTTCGCTATCTTGCATCATCAACATTATTTTATTTTTTCCCCAACGCATGCATCCTTCTTTATAATACATTACTAATCCACAAGCCAATGTATACTATACAATAGGGAAACACGCGACCAGTCCCTCCAAAAGAACCGTGCAACCAACAAAATTTGTCAAACTGCCAATCAAAGCTGAATATTTCTTTTCATTTCCTCCAGACCGAGTAAAACCGTGATAAAAGAAATCGTACTAACAAATTCTGCTTCGCCGAGTTTTCTCGGGATAATAATTAACTGCAATATATACGAACCTGAGATAACTCGGGATAATCAGGCAAGCGGTTAAGTAATTTTCATTTTTAGGAAAACCGTCAAAGTCTAAATTGCTTGATATTTTAGTCCATCTGTTTCATTTTCAGTTATGCTTCAGATAAAAAAAAAAAAAAAAAAAAAAAAAAAAAAAAAAAAGAGAGCTTCAATATCTTACAGATTTTTTTAATAACTTAGAAATAAGAATAAACTTCTTTAAAATAAACCAGCTTTAAATAAACAATTTTAAATGAATTAAGTAGCTTTAAACTTAAATGTACATTACAACATAAACTTCGAAGTAGAATGTGCTAAATTTAATGAAATGTACATTACAACGTAAACTTCGAAGTAGAATGTGCTAAATTTAATGCTAAATAACTAACACTTCTACCTAATGCAATAAGTCCACTGCATGCAGATAGGGGAAAATTTGTCCTCTCTTTTATATAGCAAGAAGACAGGAGGAATTTTTTTTTTTCCTTTTTACCTTGTAAAATGCATTATTTCTTTAATATTTAGACAGCATGCAGTGCAGAAAATTGATACAAAGCCTATAATTCCTTTTAAATTCCTGTTTTTAAATAAAATCTATGATGCAATGCAAAGCTGCACATTTATAAGGATCTTAATATAAGAATGATTTACAAACTAATAATGCCTTTTTCAAAATCTCAAATTTATAGGCATGCACCATATGCATCACATGTCTTAACATGATGGCCCTGGTACCTAGTCTTCGTATGATCTGAAAACTTTTATGGAAATAATATTCTTAATTTTTTTCTACTTCAATACAGGTACAATTCTGTAGTCCTTGAAGGCTGTTCTGAACATGAAAATAAAACTGTTGAGTTCTATTGTGAAGTTGATAATCACTTAACTTGCAGTTACTGTATGCTAATTGGTAATCATATTGGGCATCAAGTGAAAACTCTGATGGATAAGGTATAGTACAAAATTCATAATGATTATTGAATGTACATTAATGTTGAAATTTTAATGTACACTCCTCAATATATGAGTTGCAACATCATAAAGGAAAATCTACAATACTTTTGAATTCCTAAGTTTCATGGTTAACAGCTAGTAAGATACAAAAAAGTGAAAACTTTTAGATGATTAATAGCATTTTTAAAATGTCCTCATCGTTTAGGCAGAAAAAATTACTGAAAAATTTTCATGCCATGCCATGTTAATGCTTTGGAAATCATTTTGCCTCTTAAGTAGTTCATAGAGGGACAGGATTATTGAGCTGTGTGATGCCAGTTTGTCCGTACATGCAGTTGTCATTCATTTGGAGTGAAACATGAATACTGTACAGCACTGTTTATCACAAAAGGGTAAACATCATCAAAGAATATGATGGCAAGGTGGTAAAGCTCTTCAGTGTATTGCTGAATAAACTAACCATCACATTAGATAGATGATCATGCAAAAAATCAAATTAGAGCCATCATTTAGCAATTATCAGATGAAAATGTGCCTACACCGAAGTCACAATATAGACTCCATTCCTAATGACAGCAGTAAATATACCTGATAATAAATTGCAGGGCATCTGATCCTAGGTTTAAATTGTTGCTGATACGAAACTAAGTTCACTGACAAGTTTGTTCACTGACAGTTTTATTTCTGCCCTGCAAAATGAAAGTTAAATAATGGTCTGTAGGCATTGAAGGCAGGATTACAAAAGGGATGGGATAAGTGAGTTTAACTGGTGATGGATACGGAACACAGTATAAAGTAGTTTCTCCCTCCTTCCAACATGCCTTTATGGTATATGGTAGCACACTCAGCACGTATTCGAGAGGTCGAGGTTCAAGTCCCTGCGAGGGCATTACACATTTTTCACTTCAGCATCAAAATAACCTAATGAACGTATAACAGTAGTGTGAGATAATATTTCATGTGGTCATTAGTCATCTGTAGTATATGTTGTAGGCAATTTGATATGATCATTCATATAATAATACAGTATACATTTTAACTAGTATGTCTAGGCAGTATACACCTTAGGCAATATACTTTCCAAACAGTTTGAATAATCATTCATATATCACTATAATGATTTGGTAGTGAGTGGAACCTGTGATAATGCCATATATTGAGTGTAAGAAAACACATTAACTGTCATAGATTTTATTTTGATAGAAGTGCTCTCAGGGATTCAAAATACTTTCTTCATGTGTAACTAAAAGAAAGACCAGTATCACAAATAGACAGACAGGCAGACGTTTGAATCACTGAGAGTGCACCTCCTAAAATAAAATCTATGTCAGCATTCTGTTTTTTCACACTCAATTTTACTTGGATGGCCATTCTTTCCTATACTCCCATTTGAAGAACATCTGTAATCATTTTCCTACAAGATAATGTGTGCAGCCATATATGGTTTGTATTAACAAATAACAGGTTGAATGGCTTTGACATCTGGACAATCCTGTCACATTCTGAGACTTTTTACTGATATAACATATATATAGGACCTTCTTTGAAATTAGTTACACACTGTGGACTTCCTGCAGCAGCTCTGAATGTTTTGAATGCTCTCCATGTTGCTTAACACACTATCTTCAAAGAATACTTAATAACTTGATTAACCCTATGAGTATTATGGATTTAGCCCTGAAGTTTCAGAGTTCTCAAAATGTCAGAAATAGCAGGTATTTTGTTGATTATAATTCCCAAATGAACCTCTCACTTCATATCTTTACTCCATTTCTTCCAATATACGTTGAATCTCAAATCAATACACCAGATGCTGGCAGAAATTTTTGTGGGTAATGAATTAAAATACTAGCTTTCTATGCAGAATTTTATGTCCATCCCTTGAAAAGTTAATGTCTGACTTCAGGGAGTAGACTTGTATTGCTGCTCTTAATATAGGTACTTATTAAACGCTGTTTATTCAATCACTAAGCCATCATTTTGTGATTTCTGTGATTTTAATGTCTTTAATTTTTGTAATTTTGTGGATTTTCTTTCATGATATTGCAATTCAATCCTTCATTTCTGTTAAGGAGAATAATGTAAATCATTAACAAGAAACTTGATATTTGTATCAATGATATATCTTATTACTCATAATTTGCCCAAAATAATAATAATAATAATAATAATAATAAAATAAATAAATAAAATAATTAAAAAAATTTTTTTAGCGTTGATTCCTGAAATTTTAAATGACAATATGGTTTGCTAGAAATATGTTTTTAACTTGAAATCCTTTGGTGCCATTATAGTTACACAAAATTTATAATGTTTATAAAATTTATAATACCAAATGTTTCTAATTTGATTTCTATTTTTAATAATGCATCATTCATCAAATGAAAGTTAAACATGGTAATGTAAAATTATAAATTAGTCAAAAAAAGATAACCATATTTGGGCATAGATTTTGAATAAAACTCTATCAGTTTTGAGAATGATCAGACACAAGTCCCTCTTTTTCAGAAGCAAAATTCTTTTTGCAAAGTGGAGATGACTGTATTTATGTCAAAAGCATTCAACAATATGAATTATGTGATCTTGATAATAAAAACCTATCCAGTTATAAATGTTCTCTATTTAAACTTATCTATAATAATAGTAATAGTAGTTTGTCTGGAAGATACAATGGATTGTCCTTAGTGTGAAATTTGGCTAAAATGGATTTCGTATAAATGCCAGCAGATTTCTTTTCCTGTCCAAAGCATGTTCACATTTATTTTTTAAGACATCATTTAATCATTTGCTTGTTGGATAATATGACAAAAGTTTTAAGATTTCTTGTAATAAAGGAATGCCATTTAGGAAAATTGAGAAAATCATTCTTTTTGCATGATTTTTTTTTCCAAGATGTGTTAACTTGTTTTTCAAAAGCAATTTGAAGTATTATTTTTTATTTTCTTTATATCAGCATGTTAGAATTATGTTATCAGAGTGTTACAATTATGATATCTGCTTTGTAATTATTGTTGACATCTTGTCAGTTTTGATGATAATTGTGAATTTGAATTAACCCTTTTGACAAAGAGATCATCAATGCACTTCAAGGAAGGGAGGAACAAGGCATTTTCAGTGACAGAAGTGGTTTGTACTGCACCACTGGCTGGCTATACATGAAGTTTGCAGCCTCAGCAAGCTCTGTACTTGAGCCAAAATACATATTCCAGATCAAATTTTTGAATACTTTCCAGAACTGAAAGTAATGTTAATAAGTAATAGATGTAAGTAATGAAAGCTCATTCTCCTGAAGAAAAATGATTCTTTATATTAATAAAAAATTATCATAATGAAGTGAAAAAATCTGTGATTTAACTGAAAATATATAAGTTTTCATATTTATGTGCAGTTATCTATGTTTCATTGTAAATGCACTCATTTATAACATCTTATTTTATTAATTTAACCATTTACATAACAGCTATAAAATACATTACTGTGCATGGTTTTGGTGAATAGCCAGATTTGTAGTTAGTGGAGACTCCTATTTGTACAAGCAAAAATCATTAGCTGTTGACTAATATCTAATTTTGTCAAATCAGTAGCTGTTGTGTTAATGTGATACTTTTTTGCACATAAATTTTCAGAAATAAATAAAATCTGTAAATGTCAACCCTACAATTTGTATCATTCATTTGGAAATTTAGGTATGATTTCTTTAAATTTCATAGAGTTCTGTAAACAAAAGGAAATGAAAATTTCATATGAAATATTGTTGCATCTTTTCAAGTTTTGCATTTGTATTATGCTTGATTAGTTTACTTTATTTTCAGAACAAATCATGTGCTGAAGATCTGAAAACTGTTGTACAAGAAATTTCTGTTTTGCAAAAACGGTTAAAATACACTGAACATGTAATTATTATTATTTTTTTTCGTATAATCCCCTTTCTTCTGCATTTCATATCGCATTTTATGTTGCCAGTATGACACTAATCAAAATAACTAATCAATTTTTTTAAAATTATTTATTGTGTTTTTCGCTTTTTTTTTTTTTTTTTTTTTTTTTTTTTTTTCTTTTTTAGTGTGTCTGTGTGTATGTTTATACATTATTTTGAAATTATTTGTCATTTTTTAAAAGTGAAAATGATACTGTATTTGAAAAGAATTTGAAAAATTTTAATTTAAATGTTTTTAATAATGTTCTGTTAAAATATGCATTTTTTACAGCTATTAAGTGAAACTATACCATTAGAAAAAGTGGATGTTTCAGATCTGATCAAGAATGTACATAATCATTTTCATAAGCTTCATTCTGTCTTGCAAGTCAGGTCAGTGTGTTTATTTTTATGTAGGTAGACTCTAAAGTTTATTTTATGTTACTTTTTTTAATCTTCTTTGTGGGGCGGGTTCCTCGATCTGCTCATGAAGATCTGTGTTGAAACTGTATGTAATAGTTAAATTTTATATAATTACTTAGTCTCTGTTTTCATAAACTTTTATAGTTAAATTTTATGTAATTACCTAGTCTCTGTTTTCATAAACTTTTATTAATTAAGATATTCACATCATTAAAGAGAGTAAGAAAGCAAAATATTTTGAATTCTAAATTAGTATATATCAAGAGAGAAAAAAACTGATGTCTGGATAAAGGCTGTCATGTCACTTAGAGGGTTAATTAAATTTTTTGAAGGCATTGATTAATCATGTGTTACACACATATTGATTTTTAGCACCAGAGATGCTATTAGTCTCAAACTTTCTTTCTTTCTTTTTTTTTTTTTTCTTTTTTTTTTTTTCTTTTTTTTTTCTTTTCTTTTCTTTTTTTTTCTTTTTTTTTTTTTTTTCTTTTTTTTTCTTTTTTTTTTTTTTTTTTTTTGTCTGAATCACTTTGAGGTTGTTACCAACTAATGTTATTACCATTAGTGAACTTGTACAGCTTATACAGATTTTGTTCTTGATGTATTATTTTTAAAGAAATTAAATAAAAACCTGGATATATGGTCCTCATATTGTGGGAAAAATGATGGCACGTAAAGCTATCAAATTTTGAATACATGTAGTCTTGCACCTGAACATGTGTCTCGGATGCCCAAATTTTGAATTTGTTTTTAATTTGCTTCATATATTGAACAAATTGATTCTTTTCTGCTATCGGATCCCAGATTGAAAAATGTATGCATGTATGTGTTCATATATATGCTTGTATACTACATATGTATGTATGCGTGTATGTACACACACAGCATACATTTCTGAATTCAGTCCCAATAACAAAAGAGTATCTACAAATTTAATGAACTTTTTATTAACCCCTTAACTGCCACAGGAAACGTACAAGATTCATTTTCCAGTGCCACCGTTTTTCACACAGGTGCATGTAGTTATGCTATGCATTAGGAGGAAAATAAGTGCAAGTTTTACTTTCTAAAAACTGTTTACTTTCACAAAATAAATAATAAAAGAAAAAATGAAAGTACAAAATTTAATGTTTAGAGTAAAAGTATAATAAAATAATGTAGTAAGTATAATAAAAATGATATTTGTATAATGAAAAAGATGTGTAATAAAAAAAAAAGATCCCCCAAAATGGTGTTTAGATCAATTTATTTTTAGACCAGTAAAGTGTTATATCAGAGTTTTCAGTGTTATATCTTGTAAAATCAGTATATCTAAAAAAAAATGTATATTTTTTCTGAACTGGTTGAATGCGACGATTTTGTTCTTGATTTTTCTTTTTGCAGGATATTAGTTCATATACTGGGTTATATTATAATATACTGCGTTCATATACTGGGGTATATTATAATATTAGTTCATATACTGGTCAAAACGGTGAGTTTCAGTGACAATATGAAACACAAGCAGTTCATCAAAAAATAATTCCAAAAAGATAAGTTCGTTTGAAACATTCTCTATATCTTTCTTTATTCCTAGCACCTACTACAAACAGCAAATGAAAATGGAAGACACAGAATAAAAAAAGATACATTTTACTCAAACAGAAACACAAGCTAATACCACACAGTTATTACTTTTACCATTTCAGAAACATTCCCCTCTCCAATTCTCCTCCTCTTCTCTGAAATAGTATCCTCCTTCGCATACTCTGTCAAGGTCATTGTGGTGTTGCATTCCAAAGCTGTGCGAATAAATTTTACTGGTTGCAGCGCAAAGCAAGTGATAGTATTTCGGAGGGGCATATATATATACATATACGCCCGGGGTAGTTAACGCATCAGCTGAGCAAGGCATATATATATGACCGTGGCAGTTAAGGGGTTAACAAACACAGTGGTTTGAAATTGAACAGTCGCCTCACTGCTCAGTATAAAACATTTTTATCTCCAGTATGTCATGCTGTTGCCATTTTGCAAAATATAAGATATATATCTTTTTATCTTTAAGATATATATCAATTTTAATAAACAAACTTGACCATTTGAAAGCAGTGTGTTACCACTGTCCACTAAAGTACTTTTATCTAAAGTACTAAGTATTATACTACTAAAGTACTAAGTACCACTGTCCACTAAAGTACTAAGTATTATACTATACCACTAAAGTACTTTTATCATGCATGCACCAGTGCATTCGTATTCAGTGAAAAAGATATTAGCTTTCAATTTTAATCTTTGAGAAACAAATTAAGCAACTTTGTAATTACAATATTTAGCAAACATATGTTAATCTATTATCTTGAATAAGTAGAATAGAAATCTTAATTTGCATTTTGTTGACAAAAGTATCCATAATTACAGTATTATAACATCTGGTTTTCCTTGAAAGCATACACTAACGAGATGCTTGAAGAATGTGTGAGGAATTATTCTCAAATCTTAAGTACGACAAAGTCCAGAGCAGGATGTAAAGAATCATTTATTAACTCAATATCAATTTCACAGATGGCACCAACTCATGCTTACAGAAGCTTACACTCTTGGCTTTACTCAGAAGGTAATAAGTAACGTGAAATAAAATAGAATTAAATTAGCCTAACAAACAGCCTTTCACAGGTTACTTTATGTCCAGGCAGGCTCTGACTCATAAAAGTCGACGTAAACAAGCCTAATGGCTTGAAGCGCTCAACACTGCAGAAATGTAATTACTAGGAAATCAAAAATAACAACATGTCCTTCAAGCAGGCATAATACACTCTAAAATCTCTTTCCCAAACCTTTCCTTAAATACTACTTCTTTCTACCTCATTTGAATACTAGCTCATTAACATTCTGGCAAGGAAATGTGGGTTGGAAACGAGAATAAAAGGAAAGTTGCTTTGAAATAAAATTAACTATTAGATAAATTAAATGAATCCCCACAGTGTGCAAATGAATTTAAACTAAGGCTTAAGCTATTGAGATGGAGCCCTTTTTAGGGGATATGAGACAAATTTTTGGGAGGGGGGGCTCCAAGAAAGTGGGAGCTGTAAGCTATAGCTTGTGCAGCTTGTATGGAAATCTGGTACTGTATGTAAAACATAAGGTATGACGCATCTTTTAAAAAATACATTATTATTTGTGTGTGTGTGTCTAAATGCGATTTAAATTTTAAGTATTTCCTTTTTTTCAGCAGAAAATGTAAAACTGGCTTTAAGCATTGATCATTTTAAAAACACATTCATTAATGCTGTGAGAGATTATTTTGAACATGGAAAACTCTTTAAAATCTCAGAATTTCACGCAATTTCATGCAAGCTGCATAGAAACAGGACCACTCATAATTGATGAACTGTGTTATATGCCATCATTAACCTGACTTAGCTTTTGATTGATACTTATGTATTTTTATCAATTTAAATATGCATCAGTATATTTATTCATTGAAATTTATATGCATATATTGTATTCCCATATTATCATTTCCTTTTCCTTTTCTGTTTTACAATAGTCCATACAACAGTCCATACAACAGACTTTATTGTACAGTGTATAAGTTTTAATTTTGGTTAATGCTGGTTGAAGTAATGTCAGCTCTCTTATCAAATTATATCTCTTGTTAATCTGTTTCAAACTCATCATATTTAATAAAATATAAATTTTGAAAACACTGGCAACACTTAACTTTAAATTGATAAAATGGGAAAATCATAATGTGTTCCAGCAATTATATGTATAATATACAGCACAGTTATTCTGTATATATATTTGAATGTTCCATAAATATAATTTATGCAAATTAATGCATAAACATATTTGAATGTTGTAAAATATAAGAAGCATTATAAAATTTGTGTATAACAATATCCGCATCTGTGTTAGTATGGCAATAACAATAAAATTAATATTGTAATTACTATTCTATTTTTCTTTTACATTATGATTTTTGTAATTATTTTTTATGTTTTTATTTAGAGAACATCAGCTTATCTCTCAGATAGAAGAAGTTTCTTTGAGTAATGTTAAACAATTAGAAAAAATGGTATAATTTGTAATCTTGTTATCTATAAATTTTATTTTTTATAATTATTTCTTCTAGCAATTTACATAAATCATGTAATTATTTCGAAACTTTTTTCCCTTTCAGAAACTGGACATTTCTAATTGGGAGAGGGATTTGGCTGCTGTAAGAAAAGGTTAGGCATAAATATTTATTATTTTAAGTACATTAATATAGTATATATAGTCACTTTGAGGATTTTATTGACTTTGAAGGGCTGTGAAATTTCATGTTTCAGTCTTTTAGAGGGAGTGAATTCATATTTAAGAATTTTGTTGCTAAATGTGTAGGTAAAGGTCAGAAACTTAATGACTTGTAAAATGATGAATTGAGTAAAACCATCTTTTTTTTGGTATGCATTTAACAGTCCAAATGCATGAACTAAAATAGTGATTTATAATGAAAGGTATTTTTACAGTTGATGAAGTTATGGAGGTTAATGTAATTAAACTTTATATGTACTATATATACAGTAACACAAGAAATATCTTTTCTTAGCTTGAAGAAGATATGTAACAATGCTTGTGAAACATATGTTTTAAGTTTCCTTCTCCCTACATTCTTCTTATATGCTCATATTAAGCATATGATTATTCTGTGCTGGGGTGCGTAATATTTGATTTTAGAAACATCTATTATCACTCACTGTAATGGTAACAAATATTCATAAGAATTTTCTGTTAAATGTACTATAAATTGCACCAATTAAAAAGATTATAAATTATATGGGTTAAGTGTATTATAAATTTTATCAATCAAATATGCTATTAAAATTAAAGTTACATACTATTAAGAAATTATTTGTTATTTTTACAGTGTTTGTTTGGCATATACAGTGGTTAATTTGAAAGAAAAAGCTAGAAGTAGCTGTTTGCTGTATTGGCTGAAACTTACATATATATATTTTTTTGTTTTGTTTGTTTGTTTATTTGTTTGTTGTTGTTGATATGATAATGCTTGCCAGTCCACATGCATAATAAATGCCTGAGTAGCATTATGCAATATAATATAATGGGTCCAAGAATTGTACAGATATTTTTAACATCAAAACAGAAAAGGTTAAGTATAGATAAGTTGGGCCTCTTTGACTTTTATAATTAAAGCCATAGAGAGGAAAGGGGAAGATTTCAGGACAAGTTTCAAAATAAATTCATTTTTTAAAAAGAATTAATAACGTGTTGAAATGTTTTCAAATCCAAAGATTACCAAAAGGAATAATTCATTATGTCCTTATATAATGTTAGTTTTTGATGTTAATAAAAATATGTCCATATGAAAAGAACCCTTGCACAGTAATTGCTTCTTGCAAGTTACCAGTGTTTCTGTGAGCTTTAATAAGCATAGGCATTAATAATTAGAATATTGCTATCTAAGGTGACCATGTCTTAGCCCACTAAAGGCATTAAATATATATTAACCCATTAACCGAGTTTTTTTTAAAACATTTTTCAAATATATTTCGTCATTTGCATGCAAACAAAACATAATGTACTAAGTTTTACATTATTAAAAATAAATATTTGATTTTTATTGATTTGAAAATCAATCTTCATTTGGTGATCACGACATGTTGTATGTAAATAATTGTATTGAGGTAATTTTCATATGAGTGCCGTGCATTAACATATTCTTCATGTAATCCAACATCACACTTTACGCATTGTTTCTGAACATTTCTTTTAAGAAACCACACATTTTTTCTGTTTTCTGTCCAATGTTCTTTCTAATGTCCTTCAGGATTTGTTCTCATGTCTTCTTTTACGTATTTCTGTGGGCTCACACACTGTAGGATGGCCTTCCATTGTTTTTAGATAGTCAGATAGACAGTGTAAATTTGAATAGAACCTTGCAACTATTCTTCTGAAATTTAATAAAGACGTTTTTTCGTTACTTTCTGCTCTTATCACGTTCTATGGCCATATTCACTGCAATAGTAAAAACAAGAAAGTGCCATTTCTTGTTCTAATTTTTATTCTATACTTTTGTATATTCCACTCAAGCTTGTCAACATCACCCATGTTATTATTGTAATTTTCAGTTTCATTAGGCTGCAGAGTTATCACTCTTTTCTTCTCAGTTCTAGACCATGTTTAGCTAGCTAACCGGGGTAGTGGTTAGTGACTCTGACCGCTGTACCAAAAGGCCTGGGTTCAAATCCCAGAGAAGGCATGGATATTTGTAAATATAAAGTGTCTGTATGGCATAGTGGCACAATATGCAGCAAGCTGAAAGTCCTCCTGAGAGGTTGGTGTTAAGAAAAGAGGGATGAAAGACTCTCGAACCCTCTACTCTGGGATGCTGTCTCTCAAAATTTAATATGGAATTGAGCTAAAGTCAGGCTGTAACCTTGATGGTGCTCAAGGCTCTTGCAAATGACTCCTTGCTTTGATGAATGTCATGGGCTTATGCTAATCTATATCAAGTAAGTGAGATGTGTAACAACAACATACCATATTTGTACATGTTTCGAAGGTAAACCTTCCAAATGATTTGATACCATCCTGACATTGTTGTTATCTTTCCAAGTCAAGGCCAAATATTCCATTTACTTCGTCATAGCTATAATCAAAAGCCCGACAAAATTCTATCTTGATTTCCCTATCTGTTTTTATAGGACATTTATTTGTCCTGTTATATGCATGTTACTGCTCCTGTAGTAGACATACTTCTCTCTTTTAGATTTTTCATCTAATCAAAACTTGTGAAAAAATTTATTGAAATAAAAACAGTGTTCTGGTTTGTCTATGGTTGCTAACTATATTCAATATTACCAACATTCCTAATCCATTCATATCTTTTTCTAAACTACTGCTTAGCTGACCTTCAGCTATTTCATTGTAGCAATATCCAGTCATACTATAACACATTGCCCATTGCTTGAGATGGGTTTGCTTCAGAAAATGATGACCATAATAATACACCATTTGTTTAGTGATACTCAAATTACAGTCAAAAGTCGTTAATTCAGACACCCATAATCCGGACCTCAAAGCTAAAAACTTCCTGCACATGCGCCTCGTTGGCACATGCACACAGGCGTTTTATGCGTGCGCGTAAGACCTTGACAACTGCGCATATGCGTGTGCGCAAGTGCAGAATACATTTTCTCCTGCGCATTTAATGTATAATGGACGTGTAAGCTAAAATTATCTAATTATCTATTTCAGTTAATGTTAATGATGTGTTGTTCCTTAATCTTCGAATTGGATCACGCTTATTATTTTTTGCAGACTGTAAGAGCAATTTATAAAGTAAACTTGAACTTTCGATTATGTCAAATAAAATTTCCGATGCTGGAACTTCCAAAGGATCTACAAAACGAAAGTATTTTTCGATGTCCCACAAACAAAAGTGGAATTGCTGCAAAAAATGGATAAAGACATGAAGAATGTGACAGAGAGGTTAGTGAAAACGAAAAAATTCGATTGATAAGTTGTCGGTATTCTCGGCACAAGCAATTAATGGACTTGAACAGCGGAACTTTGTAACTGAACAAGAAATTATGTCTGTTTATAGAATTAAAGAGAAGTATTATCACAAAACAAGCAACTTAAACAACTTACTTTGAAAGAAATGTTTAATAAAGTAAAAATAAATATTAAACTTTTTTTGTAAATTTTGATACCCTTTAATCATAATTGTTCTTTATTCATAAATTACGGTTTCATATTTTATTTTAGATTTCTGCATTCCATCTTACAGATTTAAACTGATGATCTATAATCCGGAAAAATCGATAATCCGGAATCGCCGAAGTTCCGACGAGTCCGGATTAACGACTTTTGACTGTATACAAAAATACTCAAAGTGCATAAATGTTTTATTTAGTTCTTCCAAAATGGTCATTTGTCGTACAGTCAAAAGTCTTTAATCCGGACTCGTCAAGACTTTGGTGATTCCGGATTATCGGTTTTCTGGATTATAAATGATCAGTTTAAATCTGGTAAGATGGCATGCAGAAATTATAAAATTAAAAATATGAAAACGTAATTTATGAATAAAGAGCATTATGATATAAAGGTATCAAAATTAAAAAAAAAAAAAAAAAAAAAAAAAAAAAAAAAAAAAAGCTAAACTATTTATTTGTTACTTATTAAACATTTCTTTAAACACGCGCATGCGTAAAACGTACATTACGCATAGTCGAAATTAGAAAATTGCAACCAAGAAAACTATTTGATTTGTTAAGACACAATAACACGCCAAATAAATACTAATTCAGAAGTCAAACAACAAAAATCAGCGTTATATTTACAAAATTTTCATAGGACTAGTTTCGATGGTTTTACTGAACCACCATCCTCAGCTGCAAAATCACAAATGAACAAGATAGGAAAAAATGATTAGATAAGATAAGAAAGCCTGGACAAGAATAAGCAAGTGGCACCATCTGTTGGTGAAACCAGAACTAAAACATAATTTCTTTAAAGGCCGAAGGCAAAATTGGATTAGAATTAGGATTGCTAACTAGAACAGAAAGATTTTTATGAATGTGAAATGCCTCTAGAAAATCCAGTTCTCCAATGGAAGATGTTTTTTTGCGGTTTTGCAGCTGAAGATGGTGGTTTGGTAAAACCATCGAAATTAGTCCTGTGAAAATTTTGTAAATATAACGCTGATTTTTGTTGTTCGACTTCTGAATTAGTATTTGATGTGTATTCAAGATATTTTTAATGACGAGGAATTTGATTTAAATCATATCAAAGATGGAGTACATTGAGATGAAATACTACATATAGTAAGAAATTATAAGCCGAATAAAATAAAAACATCAGCCCTGAAGATAAGGATAGTGCTGACAGGTCAACTTCCAGTTCATTGTGCGCCGTGATGCACCCCCTCCCGCAGAGCAACGTGAAATTGATGTATGTTTGTAAATTGCACACTTTTTGCTTTAAAATTGTTTCAATTATGTTGTCCTTATCTTCCGGTTAAGGTTTTTATGCCTTTAGTAAATCTGCATGCGATATTGCATGCAGATTTAGAATTATTAACAATTTAAGTTTTTTTAAGTGCCGCTAAGCTGTTTATTTTTGCAATGGCGGCCATGTTTGTTTACACTTGAAACAGCAGTATAGCAGATTTGTTGCCAATCTAGAGAAACTAAGCTTCACAACAACAAAGATAACACCTTCTTTTATTATTGTGAATTAAATCATGCTTAATCTATTCTGGAATTTATTCAAGGAAATAAGGGTTTCATATTTACTTTGTAATTTTTAATATAGATATTTTGAGTTTTTATGTATTTTTGCCTTGTCGCAAAGTGAGAACTGAATAAATTGAATGAGAAATACTGAATCGTCTGTGAAATCTGTTTCTTTTTTGTCGTTGTTGTTCTTTGCTTAATTTCTTTTATACATCGTTCTAGATTTATTATAGTATTTGAACAGAACATGTTGCAACGATTAGATAATTCTTAAGATGATATAAATTTTGAGTTAAAAAATGAACATTCTGAGTTAAAAAAATGAACGAAATGTAACACTGTTAAGTGAACCTAGGGCCAGAGTGTCACTATGGTAAACAAATATAGTGAATTTTAAACAGTGCATTTATTCTGTTGTGGTTTATGCAATATCGACGAAGTAGATTTAATTCAATCCAATAAGTTTAAATGAAATTCAAGAAAAAAATGGGTATAATTTAATATTCTGTAATTTCTAATATAAATATTTTGAGTTTTTATGTATTTTTGCCTTGTTGGAAAATGAGAACTGAATTAATTGAATGAAAAATACTGAATCGTCTGTGAAAAACTGTTTCTTTTTTGTTTTGTTTGCTTAATTTCTTTTATACATCGTTTTAGTTTTATTATACTATTTGAATAGAACATGCGGCAACGATTGGATAATTCTTATAAAATATAAATTTATATGCATTCTGAGTTATAATATGGGTGAATATAATAAGATATGAATGTTTATAATTTTGTTGTATTTGAAGACTTGGGTACCTAAAATTTGTCAATGTGAAATTACTTTAGAGGTATTGGTCGTAAATAGAAATGACAGCATATGTTGAAATTAAACTCTTTTTGATGCTTTAATATGCATGCCTGCCAGTGAGTGAAGAATTGTCATACTCTGTCAGCAAATGAAAAATCATTAAAAGTAATTACTTATGACAACAGACCTGGATGAAACTTACATCTATGACATATCACAGCAGAGCAGAGTTTATAATTTTAATTACTCATATGATGTAAACATACCAGTTTGCAGAATTATCCACAAAAATTCATGTTCAAGTTAATGTTTACTATGAACTGTAGTCTTTCGAGTGTAACCCTCTTTTCTTTTTAGAAAAAGCATATGAAATTCAGGGGTGCAGTTTATACATGCAAATTATTAGAAATAGATGTATACAAACAGCTGGCAATACCGCAAAATGTATTTAATGATTGAGCATAAAATACATTGTTGGGTGAATGTTTCATAGTATTGTACTAGTTGTGGTTGCTGGTTATGGTGACCAGTTGTGGAATACTAGTGCTAGTGGTAATTAATACTGGTAGTGTAGCCAACTACTTTAGTATCGACAGTGACAGTGATTAAGGAGTGCTAAGCACAGAAACATGTTTCTTTGGATTTAAAATTTAAACAAAACAAAAAAATATAGGGTAAGTACCGTTTTCTGCTTAACTGCTTTCAGACCTGCAAAATGGAAAAATATTATATACAGGCTATCTGTCACTTATCCTCAAGTTTTTTTTTTTTTTTTCAAATTAGGCGTGTTTAGAATATCGTATTTCTCCTAAGAGAAATTACATATAAATTGAAGAGGTTTTATGATAATAAATATCATGTACATGTTTATAGTAAGAGAGTACTACAGTGCAATGCAAAAATATTCCATACTGTTTTACACAGAAATATGTGCCAACCAAGTATTGGTCTTTCAAAAAAATATCTCTAGATCATTTCTTTCTTTCTTTCTTTTTTTAACCATCTTCCGTTTCTTCTTGGCTAATAAGAAGGGCAGATAAAAGAGCATTCTGTTGAGCCAGTTAAACTTTGTGGTGAACTAAAAATGCCATGACACAAAATATCAAAAGCAAGGAGAGCGAACAAGGGAAATCAATCGAGTGGAAAAACAGCGTGCGAAAGGTGTAGACACATCCATGCATGCACAAATTTAGCTTCTCTCATTGGCCACAGCTTAGACCCCGTCTCGCAGGTGTGAATGGAACTTCCGTATTTTATGACATTATGACTATGCCTTTGTGCCCTCTATGCCGCCGTCTGAACGCAGCCATAGTGATCATTTTTAAGGTGGATTTACTATATGCAACTTACTGTTCTGCAAACTGCATAGATGTTTCAAACTTTTCTAGCAGTTCTTCTTCTTCTTCTTCTTTTTTTTTTTTAAACTGCATTTAAACTTCATGTTTAGTAGACTGTGGTATATTGCAGTGTAAATAATTAATATATCTTCATTAAATAATTCTGTGTTATTTGAAATTTTGTTGCAGATTTATTTCCTTTTTGAAATTTCATCAAGCTTAATTTTTGTACAATATATTTTTTTAGATGCTGAATCAGTCATAGAAAACCCATGTTTAGCAATTAGTGCTCCAGCAATTCTTGAGAAGTTAGAAGCATGTAAAACGTTACCTTGCTACCTTGTTCCTCTTTCTGATGACAAGAATAAGGAGAAAATTAAAATAAAGTACATACTATTTCTTTAGGGAGAGCATTATTTTTATTATTTTGAAATTAAGGAAAATGTTTTAAGTTTTCTTTTTTTTTTTTTTTTTTTTTTTTTTTTTTTAACTTTTTTTTCAGTCTCCAACTAGATTCAGAATTAGAAGAAAGCATATCACAGTTAGGAAAAGTAGAATACGAAGTTTTTTCAAAGTACAGTAATTTTTTTAGATTTTCTTTTATTTATAGGCCTTATATAGATTGTATTATAAAAACTATTATTATAGATTAACATTATATATAGACTGTATTATAAAAATTGAATACATTAAATTCTGACATTGGAATACTGGAGTGGTATTTCTGCATTGATGATGTGCATGTTTGAGAAACAGCTGGTTAACTACTGTTCTTCAGAATTGCATCGTATCAGTATATCAGTTTGTCACTGTAAAATACTCATTATGTTTATAATGTATTTTCTCCCTCCTTTCACACGCATTCATGGTGTAATTGGAAGCATACTCCACACATATTCTTGAGGTCTGGAGTTCAAGTCCCCACGAAGGGCATTGCACATTTTTTTCCAGACCCCCCCCCCGGGGGAAAAAAAAAAAAAAAAAAAAAAAAACTAATGCCTCTATGAGTAGTGCTCAAACTAAAAGATGGTAGATGATAATTCGTCACCACCAGGATTTGGCTGTTGGTTTCCCTAATTTCCAGTTGCCCTTTTAAAAGTGTGTAAGGTTTTTTTCTTCCTCCTTTCTACATGCCTTCATGGTGTAAATGGAAGCATACTTGGCATTTATTCGAGAGGTCCGGAGTTTGAGTCCCGACGAGGGCATTACACATTTTTCATATCTCCCACTTCAAAAACCCTAATGACTAAAATGACTTCAGAACTAATGACATACTTATTATGTTCAATCTTCCATTATTAGAAAAAGAAGTTTTGTTGATGCCTGAGGCATTATTTCTAACTATTGCTGAACTGTCACCTATAGAAACAGTGCTACCAGAAATTTTTGAGTTTAAGTACAAAGAATAAAATCAAAAAGTCGCACAGAGATCATATGATTTTTGTGATGTTATTGCTCACATGACCTCTGACATCATCACAAATTCAGTCTTTCAGAGTACTGTAAGTTATGGATTGTAGTTCGATTCATATTACATATATTAGTTTTGACGAACATTTAAAAATTAGATTGCTAATTTTCAAGTCTTTAAATATCCATTTTGATTTTGACTGAATTCTCAGTTAATGTGCTTCATTAAATCAATTTTATGTGCATCATTTCACATTTATATAACTTGCGATAAACTTTTGTATTGTTTTCATTCTTTCTAGCCAATTCTCAAACTCGTGTTTTAGGTTAGGCATTTTGGAAAGTGGTGCAGAATTTTTTAATGTTGCTTGTATTTCACATTTTATCAATATAGATTGTAATCTGATTAAATCCTATTCCTAGATCACTAGAATATTAAATTAATCAATGAAATACATGAAAATACCTCCTACTAGTGCTGGTATTGAGTGCACTGCACTATTATTGCAGGATTGCTGGTTTCCAACTTAACTACTAGTGCTGGTGTTCATGCTCTCATGGGCTACAATAGCAAGATTACTAGTTATAGTTCGACCGTCTCAAGCACAACCCTAGTTGGCATTCTGCCAAACCACATAGTCTTGTCCAAAAGGGGCGACATGAAAGGTCTTCTCTTCTCCGGAAAGAGCTGTGCTGGAGGGAAAGTCCCTATACTTTCACCCTATTTTGAGAATAATTCGGTCTGAATGGCGCATGTGTGTTTGTGCTCATGGTCGTGGATGAGGCGGTCGAACTATACTAATTTTTATTTGAGCCTAAATAAATTATTATTTTTATTTATAAATTAATATCAACAGATACATTATATTAATAAAAATTAATTTTATAACATTTTATGACTTGGTTCAGTCACTGTGTTATTGTGATTGTAACTGTGTGTGTGCCTCCCAGCAATTTTGAGAAATGAAAGCTACTGGAAATTTCTTATGCAGATGGGATAAAACTATATGTAGGACCGGAGAGAGTATTAGTTCTAAGTTTTAGCTCGAAAGTTCAAAATATTGAGAGATCACTGTCCGATCTTTCATTTCCTGATGTGCTTCACATTGCCTTGTGTTCAATGGTCTTAGTAGCTTGAAGTGATAACTACTGATTATGCTATCTCATACTGAGAAGAGCCATACAAGTACTTTTGTATAGGAAGTTTCAGAACTGCAAAGTTTTTTGGAAAATAAATGTTATCAATTCTGTGTGTATTCAATCTATTTCAAACCCACATATACATGAATGTTTTTTGGTGTGAATGCAATTTTGAATGGAGTTTAATGCCAGTGACAGCAGTGATAGAAGAGCAACAAAGGCAGCAACTGACTTTATTGCATTAAAAAAAAAGAGATGAATGTTGCCCAAGAAAAGATAGAAGGGGCTGTCAAATCTGTTAAAGAAGAGATGTAAACAGGCCAACAAAAGATTGAAGCAGGTCAAGAGGAAATGAAAAGAGAAATAGGTAACAAATTCATTCGGAAGAGCATTTGGAGGAAGAACAGTTTTTGATGGAAGAGACAGACTGTGGCAATCCTATTGCATTATACAAACTATTCTTTGCCGATGAAATATTGGAGATGGTCTGCGGCATCTGGCAACGAAAGGCAGCAAGAAGCCTAGAAGCCCATTACGAAAGGTGAAATGAATATTTTTATTGGTATTTTACTAATTATGGGTGTAGTGTGGTTACCCGAAATTAGATTTTACTGGCCAAAGAAGGAGATGTATGCGAATGCACATGTAAAAAAAAAAGCAATGAAACATGATCGGTTTATATTGATATTGAAATATTTACATTTTACTGATAATGCTACTGCTAGAACCAAGGATCAGTTGTATAAACCTTGAAACATTGTTAATAAAATTGTTCGTAATTTCAAAAATAGCTTCAAACCTGGTAAAAACAGTAATTGACCAAAGCGTGGTTCCATGGAGAGGATGCCTTAGTTTTCGTCAATATATACCAGGCAAGCGACACAAGTATGTGATAAAACTGTACAAACTGTGCCTTCCAGACTGTGCCAGAAAGTTATACACACAGTATGCATATTTATTCCAGGAAGGATGAAGCAAGAATTTTAAAAGCACATTCGGAAACTGTAGTTATGAAATTTTTAGGGGATTTTTTGTTCGAGGGCCGGATATTGTTTACCGATAGTTTTTATGCAAGTGTTCCATGCAGTACCACAAATGTACATATTTTCCCTCAGAAGTTCCTTGAGGAACTTCTGAGGAAAGAAATAAAGGGAAATCTGAGGAAAGATAGAGCAAAGAAAGTAACAACATATTGCAATAATTGTAAGGGCAAGCTGGCACTTTGTTTATCTTGCTTTAAAAGATTGCATAAATAAAATTAATATTTATATTTAATTATGCTTAATTTATAAGTTGCATTTTAATGCATGTTTAATGCATATGTATTGCATGTTTGATTATAATGTTGAATAATAAAAATAAAATTTTGTACTACGTATTTTTTTATATACAAGTGTGACCCATCGGTGAGTCATGCTGGCCCGCTGAACAAGGTGGCTCATGCCTGCCCCAGGGAACAGATAAGCATGACCCACTGGTGGGTCAGGCCGACGTCAACGTATTAAATGAATCAGTAGCCCTTCATTCTCTGTGTCTTCGTGGAGTTTAACATCATAGTTATTGCAGAATGCGCAACTGAGCAATGAAAAGAGGAATGCTGCAAAGTATGTCATTCAGCAATTTCAAGGGGTTTTTCACCCCATGTCTTCTGACATAGGTTGAACCAATTTAGCACAGCATATAGTTGATACAGAGGATCGTCTGCTAATGAAGCAAAGTGTACCTATTTCTAAACAGGGAAAAGAAGGAAAACTTGTAAAGTATATATAAGAAAGTGATGTTATTGAGCATGTAGAGCAAATCCTTATGCCTCTTCCATCGCCTGGTCAGAAATAAACATGGTTTAACTAGATTTATATTGATAATCGTCTATTGAATGACATCATGAAGAAAAACATCTACCCTCTTCCTAGAATTGATGGCATTCTGGACAAGTGCAAGTGGTTTCTGATGCTTGATTAAAACGTGGGTTTTGGCAGGTAGAGATACATCCTGATGACTAATGAAAAGAGTGTATTTGCCACAAAGTGTGTCTGATGTACCAGGATGACACCATCATTGTCAGGAAAAATTTTGGAGAACATTTAGAAAATATTTGGAAGGTGCTTTAGAAATTGAAGAATGTCAATCTAAAATTAATTCCTACGAAATGTAAATTGTTGAGGCATGAAGTAAGTTACCTCAGACATGTCATCTCTGCTAAAGGTGTGTATATAAGGCTAGAAAATTTGTCGGCAGTTAAAGAGTGGAGACACCCAAAAAGGTTCATCAGCTGAGAAATTTCGTGAGGATTTGCACCTTCTGTAGTAGATTTCTGAAGGACATTTCTTCTGTCTTTCCTTCATACACTGACCGAGAGCAAGCAAAAGTTCTGGTGGACGAAAGAATCTGAGGATGCATTTTACAAACTGATGGAAGAATTTAACATCTGTGACAATCCTGACATATCCTTAGCTCGACAAATATTTCATTTTTGATACAGATGGGAGCAATGAGAGTGCTAGTGCTGTTATGTACCAAGAAATGTGGTCAAGAACGTGTCATAACATAATGGGGTAAGTGTCTGTCTAAACCAGAGAGGAATTACAATGTCACCTGGGAAGGAATTGTTTGCTATAGTTAAAGTGGTAGAATATTTTCGCTATTACCTCTACAGTGGAAAACTGCTTCTCCGTGCATATCATGCATCCTTGATCCGGTTGTTAAATTTTAAGAACCCTATGCCCAAATAGCTGGATGGATACAGAGAATTCAGGAATATGACATCCATATCCATTATTTAAAGGATTGTTATGCTGAAACACGGACTCCCCCTTCTAGAATATTCTGCCCAGAAAGCTGATAGTTTTATTTCAGGGTTGAAGAAAAATATAAGTTGGTTTATTAAGGTGTTCGTCAGATTATAACTTCAATCTCGTCTGACCCAGATCCATGGAGTAAAGAAATCAAGAAAGACCAGTTGGACAACACTAACCCTCTGACTGGCCCAGGTTTTTGCTAAGAAAGCATAAATTCCCAAAATTA